CTTGGCACTGGAATCTTGGATCGTAATCGGCGCGACTGGCGACTGGCGACGGGCGACGCCTCAGGTGCGCGTTCAAATTGGCTGATATGACGCAGTTTATCACGGAAACTCGACGCGTTTGGTATTTGCATAGACGCGGGCGTTTAATGAAGTACCCGACATGATGGAGTGGACATTGAGATCTTATTGTCTCGCCCATCTGCGACACAAGCAAATACTCAGGCCGCTTGGGTGTTGAGGGTGGTGAATTCGAGCGACCACTACACTACATCACACGCACTTCTTCTGACGCTTGAGCGATGGTCTCATTTTGTCGTGGGAAGCTGGCAGCAGTTGCCTTAATCGATGACACCTTGCACCCGCTTCTCTCTCTCCGAGTAACAAAATTGCTGTCGTGTCCGTACCGTCCTGAGCGGAATAACAATTTCTGCAACACACATTACATCAAAGTTAAACCTATGATTTGATTGTTGCCTACGGTTAGACTCGTGCATGTGTACGACACCAAATTACGTTCTGCAACCGCAATTGAGGTAGGAAGATTGCTGCGCAGACATCGTGTCATCGGTGCTGCCGGCACGAAATCAAATAATGGTAGCGTATACACTTTGACATTATTATGCGTCGATCACGTTTCGCATGGTAGCCGCGGCGCGTACGTCACGATCCGCGAATGACAGCCTCGGCGCACCGACAGCGTCTGCGGCCGCTGCTAATTCGCCGCCTCCACACCTTCGATATGCGATGGCAGAGATGCGCGGAGCTGCGGAACTGCTGCGAGGGAGCCGTGGAGCGCATTGTATCCGTTAATTCCACAATTACCCGACGCCGCTATCATTACGCTCGTCATACCAGTCACGTATTTCTCGAGCGATGGTCTCGTTTTGCTTTGTTTGTCGTGGGCTTCGAGCTGGTGATGTATTGTGGCCAAGTTCAACATCTTCCAACTTGGTAGTCACAATATTTTGACATCTTGAGGAAAATACTTGCCTTTTACTTCTTTCTAAACAAATTTAAAGGCGTTAGAAAAATCGTACAACAATACATTTAGTATTATTAGATGGGTGTTAACATTATCTTTAATTTGACACTAAATTTGATAAAATTGGTTGAAGGATCACGGAGAAATCATGGAAAAACTGAGATATTTTGACATTTTGAGGAAAATACTTGACTTTTACCCATTTTAGAGTAGATTTTACGGGTTAAAAAAAATTGCACTACCATAAATTAACTATCTCGAGGTAGATTTTTAATTTATCTTTTATTTGATACTAAATTTGATCAATTTGACCCAAGCATCATGGAGAAATCATCAAAAAACTGAAAAATTTTGACTTTTTTAGAAAAATACCAACTTTACCTGTTTCAGAGCAGATTTCACGAGTTTAAATACATTGCACAACTACAAGTTTTATATTATATTATATATTTTTAATTTATCTTTAATTTGAAACTAAATTTAATAAAATAGGCCCAAGCATCAAAGGTAAATCAATGAAAAACTAAAATATTTTTTTGCTGGCAGTCTAATTAATAGAATTAAGTTGTGCACTTATCGTCTATTTCTTCTAATCACTATTCCGCGAATGTCCACGCTAAACAAAAATCACAAACTTGCATTAGTGCGTCCAAGATGTGACCTGACTTGCAACTCCGCAGATACAGCGCGCACATTAATGTACCCTAGTTAGTCGCGTTCGTGATTCTCAATTCTCCATTAGAAGTCGCCCTGATGAGCATTTCACCGCTGTCACTATACGCACTTGTAAGCGCAGCGTCTAGGACAAGTGCAATATGCCCAGAAGGGTGCACCGCGACTATCGCACGAAGGGATGTATATAAAATCAATTATATGGGAGGCGGGGGTGGCTGCGCCGGGGGTTTGCAGCTCATTGAGCTCAACTACTGCTGCTGGCTTATCAAGCGAGAGAGGAAAATTGCTGTCAGTATGTCCATCACGTAGACTCGACCACTCGAATTCTTCGCCAGAACCTTTTGAAATATTTGCTGGGAGCAAAGTTTTTTTTCTACGGCACAATTTCCTTACATCACGTATATTCGAGGAACTCTTATCTTAGAATTGGTAATTAAATTATATCAAAGGAAAATCTATTACTATAGTCTTTGGGATGAAGTTGGTAGGAGTAGAGAAGACATTTGTCTTTGACATTCAATGATGCAAACCCTTGTTAGCAATGCCTCGAGGTGGTTCTCCTCCACCACAACGAGGACATAACCCGGTCGATGGCTGAAATTTCACGGCATGACCCTGGTTAATATTTAATGGCATATTAAATTACTATAATCGCCATTGTTACTATCCACTCGCAATCCAATCAAAGCAGATAGCAAATAGCTATCCAACCATTAGGATATTTTAAGGTTATGTCTGGATTTAATATTCAATAATGTTCTTGTTTATAGTAAGTGCACGTTATAAATAAAATCGACTCCCACGGGATTGATTCCAGGGAGAAATTTTGGAAATCTATATTTGTGTCACAGAGGGTGGATGATTCACCTTTTTGGAAGAGGGTTGTGTTGAGCAGGGCAATGCGTATCCACTTGTCGTAGTATTTACTGTTACCGATACTGCGTTGCGATGTGGGTGGAAAACGACATACGACTAAATGCATACGTAACGCGTGACGTCCACTTGCAGGGGGTCGAAACCCTCGTCTCGAAAACCCACGTAGACCACATAAAGGGCTATCGACAAGCGCGGTGAAAATATTTTGTCTTTTAACGGCGCACACTCGTTCTAATGTCGTCGCGGGCGGCAGGTCGCGATAAAAGCTGCTGGCGGCGGCGTGATAAGCATGCTAGCGGCGTGATAAGAAGGCCGCTAAGCGCCCGGGCGGTCCCCGAAGATGGATTGCTGTCGCGGGAAATCCACCAAGGCTTTCTCTCCTCTCCACTTTCATGCCGCGCACGTACGAACAGCTTGTGACAACTGTGATCTACAGCATTGATTCTCGGGGCGCGAAATTAAACCCCTATAAAAGTGCCGCATGCCTTAAAATACCTTACAGTTTGTCGGATTGATGGAATTTCACAAACACAAATTCCGCAAGCATAAAGAGCCCTTTTGGAAAATTGAATAATGCGGGGTCGTGGTCGCAATAAAAGGGAAAGTTTGCGAATCATTTTTAAGGTTCCGCTACACGACAATTCCCTTCATCCTTTGGATGCAAAACGGCTGCAATTTGTGATGTGGGGGAAGGGCAACAAGTTTCTAAGCTTTCGGAATTAGCGTGTTTTATATTCCAACACAGACAATAAAAAAAAACCACCCCCTTGATTCATGCATTCGCAAGAAACTTAATCTTTCCGTTGGCTCACACTTTGTTTGACGTTTATCCAACGGCGAGAACTTAATTCAATTTACGCTTTGACATTTCCGGTTTTTCTCATTTAACTGCGCTGCCTCTTCAGCGGCGGGTAAATATTTAACGCGGACAAATGAAGGTGCCGAGAAATATATACGGACGGGGCATGATGTGGCTGTTGTCGGAAGAAAATTACTTGATGAACTCGCGCTCTCTGCCTCGAGGCAAGACTCCAGCGTCTCGTCTCAAGAGCAGAATCGATGCGAAAGGGAGGTTGTGAAGTAGTAGTTTGGCCAAAAGAGATAGCAAGATATCGCGGGGGTGGCGCGCACACATATAGTTGCTGCCATAATTAATCGGCTCCCTTAAGAACAAAAGCAACTGGACAAAGGGCAGCCCGAAGAAAGCCTCGGGAGAGAGAATGTCTAGCCGCCACTGCCGCGGCCGAAACGAATAGTTCACCGGCAACTAAGAGGCTGGCCACTTAATGTGACGCCCGGGACTCTCGTCGCCCACGACGTTATTTCGAACACTGGCAAGATCTAAGACCACCTCAACCCCAAAGTCGCAAACAGCAAAATAATACATTCGACCCGAAGTGTAACCTACTTCTTGTTATATCTTCCCATCTCTTTGACCAGGGTTCACTCCCGGCGGAATGCAATTAAACATTTAAAGGCTTTAAAGCCGAATCAACAGTTTCCCCAAAACATCAGACATCAATGATGATGGCTCCATAAATACCCACAGTACTCCTCGTGAAATTATTATATGTGTTCATCGTAAATTCGCCACCAGTACTCGGAAACCGCCGAAAAAATGCTCGTGAAATTTGTCCAATATCCGATATCGTAATATCTTACTGGTTCAGAGTTAGTGTTGGGTGAAACACCGTGTGGCGGTGTGGCGTTAGTGCTTCTGGTGGATTGGATGCCGCAGGGGAACGATTTATGTGTAGTGGTATTTGTATTTATCACATCGCTCGCAAAACCCGAGGTCGAAACATAACTGGTCCTTTTCCGGGATGTGTACTACGTGCGGCATGAATCAGGCTCTCTGGTCCCAGTGGGCCTTGCACGCACCCGCACAGAGTTATGACACATCTTTAGACTAATAAGCATTCCACCATCGGAATCTGGACATATACGACGTTCGGAAAAAACATGTTCTCTATTTTTGGGCGCTGTATTATTTATTCGTGCGTTGCTCAAGCACATTACCATTACGTCCTGAAATAGTCCTCCATCTGGTGTCTATCCGGCGATGTCGCGCATAAACATTCACGCGCGTTTGTTCGGCCACTTAAACACAGGCACCAAAGTTTGATTACGAATGTTATATTGGCTTAATTGATTTCCATAAATAATTTTCGGTCTGTTTCAAAGTTACAAACACGCCGAATGGGAAACAAAAATAAAGAGAGTGTTGTATTATTTACACGATCCGTTATAAATCGTCCGCGTGCAAATTAAAGCGCACGGCTTCGGCTATTACCGGCAAGCACGAACGCTGAAGGTATATAAAATATATCTAATTAACGGGGCGACGTAGGGACATTCGCGCGTAACTAATCCTCGCGTAAACGCGTTCTTTATTACATTTCGCGTGCACCACCCCATGCACCTATTTTACTGTCAACTAATTCTCATTTATCACCCTCTGTTTCAGTTTTCCTACGCGCGCCCGCAAATTACCCGCTAGCGAATTTTCCATTTTCAAGACGCTTAAAAAGAAAGCCCGTCATTGATCGCAGATAAAAGGTAAGTACTAAGTAACTTTGATCCTGGCTCTCGTCAACTTTAGATTGCTGTGTTTATCTGGACGCACATGTGTCGCTGCTGCTGCCCGTCAATCTCTCGAGAGCCATGCGAGAGTGTAAACCATGATCGCGATGCCAATCCGAAAATAGGCACCACCTATATTGGCTTGTTTAACGTGCTGGTTACTGTCATGCTCAGCAAAGCTCACACAACAATCTCCCGCGCGCATGTAAAACATTGAAAATAGGACACAGTCAAAGCACCAGTCAAATAAACAAAAAACTTCAAAATTAACACGCACGGATATATTTCTCATTATTGTGTAAGCCTTGCGGGTATAATGCGTCTGTTTGCGTTATTCAGCTCACAACCCTTTTCGGGAGAAACAATTTAATTATATTGATTGAATGACAGTCGATTCATTAGGTGTCATGCCCGGCTTTCTTCCCCCACAACGCTTTCTTTTATTCTTCCTGCGATAACACTAAAGGGTTGATACAGATGTTACCAAATACTACGTGCCGGCAGCGAAATGAAATTTAAGCAGCCGCTGTGTTTCTTCACCGTAGATTTTTCTTTTTAATCGTCGCAGGGCGAAAAAACAACCCCGGAGCAATAAGTTGATATTGAATAATGATAAGTGCTATTGCAAGGTCGTTCGGGAATTGCTCGGCGCGTCAGTCAAGGAAAAGGGGTGGCAAGATAAAGAGGCGCGCAGGGTTCCGGGTTGTTTACGCCACGGTAAATTTCATTAACATGGGGCGCTTGACAAATGATAATTGGCGTGGCCATTGGTCACTCTGTAGCCTGTCACTTACCTATCGGGTTCGGCGTCTATTTAGTGCCTTGTGCCTATCCACTTGTAGTTTATGCATGGCTTACTTATTGGCCATGTTCGTGATTTATGTCCGGCTGTGTTCAAGCCTCGGGGCACCTTCAATGAATCAATCTGTTAATAGTGAAGCGTATTCCTCACACTCACACATAACCCAACACAACACACACATAGGAATTTATTATGTAACATTAAATAATGCGTTGGAATAAATTTCGCGCAGCGGCGAAAAATTTTATTCTATTAATCAGGATGTTAAAGGGTTGTGGATTGTATTAGACATGTCATACATTTGTGGGGCGCCAGAGGGCATTAGAGGGTAATTGTAGCAGTTTAACAGAATGGTCTTTGTCAATTAAATTACTTCCATCAACAATATTTCACCCTATAGGCAAGCGCGCGCGCGCTCGCTGTGTACACAAAGATCAAACACTAGTGAATGGTAATCATCGTTATTACTCCGTGGCGGCACGGGACAATCATCAAGAAGGTATCATTGAAAACATCGAACCTAAGCATAATATTATTATATAATGCATCTTTGTGGTTGTATTTTATGTTTATGTGTGTGTGTGTGTGTATGTAACTAACCATCATACCATCCATCTATTGCACTCCGCCAGTGATTGACGGTCGTGCAGGTATGTTAATATAAATATTGACGTGATAAATTTACGTGACTGTTGGTTAATTACCAATGGATACAATTTGTTAAGATATGCGCCTCGCGCAAGTACTACAAGGAGAGTGATTACCTCGATTGCGCTGCAACTCGCAGCGCAACCGTTTTATTTGAGAAGAAAGATTGAGGTTAGAAGCGCACATATGCTGGTAGACGCAGTTCTTCGCATTGAATAGAATAGACGCCACCAAGCGTACCGAGAACAAGTTGTAACTAAACAGGTACTTGTTTTGTTTGCATGTGGATATGGGTGTACAGGTGGATAAACCAACGCTGGCGCTCCTGCTCCCGCTCTCTCGCGTCGTCTGGCCTGACACGCCGAACAACTAGCTAAGTTAATTAAGCAACTAACTAAATGGCTTCTTAAGCAATTAGCCCGCGGTGCATTGTGTGTGTGTCTTGTAAATTTACGAGTCATGTGAATTCAAACCCAGCGACTATAATTGTAATACGTGTTTGCGCTGCGAAACACTGAAACGCCGAAACAAATTCTGTAATTGTGATTGCAGATTGAAGCAAACATGTTGATCTAAACTACGGGTCTAGAGAGCAGCTAAATATTTATTCGGGGCGGCGGAGATGGTCTAAGAAAGTGTGAAAAGAAAATTGAGTTGGTTTATTGGCCACTTGGGTCATTCCCAGACTTTCGTTTGCTGTCGCAATAATGGCTGTCATCAGGTCGCTCGTTCTTGTAATTAGGTTTTTCTTCTTTTCCCATTTTCGTCTCCCCTAGGTTTGCTTTACTTCTGACACCAAATATTAACTAACCTCTGAGTGCAAATTTCTAGGTAAGAAATTGTAGTGTCATTGTAACACTCGTTAATTTTACGAATCACGACAGAAGACAGGAGAACACTTAGTGGTTTTTTTTTTCAACGCAAGGGGTGTGTCGGTGCTTACTGATGACGAAACGCGGGGCCTTAAAACAACGCTTGAAACAATTACAAGATTTAATTAAAACTGCGCGCCTGAACGCAGTCGCGTCTGGTGGGAGTCATCTATCACCGAACGTGTCTCGGCATTCTTCCATTCTGTTTCCTCTCTTTTGCCTTGTTGAAGTATTACGTATGCAATTTTTTCTCTGTATCTATTTGGACCGTTGTTTTGGACATATAGATAATCCACCGCTTATGGAATTTATAGAAGTCCGTGCACATGCCGCATGTCACCGTCAATATCAATCTAAGACAATATACCTCCGCAACCCTTCCAACTGTCACGTGTCACGCGGGAATGCCGAGCCAGAGAGAGCGCACGGGGCGCCGGCAACGTCGGACATCGGCAATGACATGACAATGTCGAGACATAGCCGACGTGCAATATGCGATATCTGATGCCTGGGCTCCAATGGACCTCCACCTTTCGGATAGCTATCGTAATTAGTCGCCAGTTCCAAGTCCCAACTCTCATGTCTTGTAAATATAGAATCTTATATTAAATACTAGTTGAAGGAGTAGTGGGTATCGCACGCGTACATCTTGTGCCTCGATCGAGCAATTGTAATTAGTCTTTGTTTATGTACCCACTACATCAGCAATCCAAATGTGTAGACGTGGACTGTGTGAATCGCGCGGTCTGCCCGATGTGCTGGAGGTGATAAAACAATGCCGCACGAGTTTCCTAGTGGTGTGTTGCATGTTCTAACGCTATCCCTTTTCGTTTGTCGTCCCTGGACAGATTTACTAGTGGATGGCGTGACCTTTAACCAGAGACCAGATAATATTTTCTTACTCGCTTCTATTCTCTTCTAACATCCACCTCAGTGGCGTAGAAATAAAACTAGAACATATCCCCTAGAAATATTGAATAATTTCGGTCGACGCCACTGGGTAAACTGTAACGAAGGGGACTCTTGTCCACACGAACATGTTGATGGTTTTCTATATCTGTTGTCTTCATCGTGTAACAACATGTAATTGCGCGTTGTGTCCATTATCAATTTTAGTCATCTCCGAGGAAATTATAAGTTTTCAATAAGTTGCACAAAATAAAAAATTAAAAAATAAAACACGTGTTATGTAAACGTATTATTATGGCTTGTTTTTTCTTTCCTCTGTGAGGGTTTTGGTGGTTGGTAGTTGGAATCGCATCATTCACATGTGACTAGGACGACTCTCCGGAGTCCCACCGTGATCGAAATGATGGAATCTCTTAACCGCCGAATGCGCGACTGGGGGGAGATAGCCATGATTGAAGGTGCATCCACTTCAATATTCTCCGCGCGGCCTAAAAAAGAGCTATCGGTTGCGCTCGAGCTGGAGAGCACCAGGGATACATTATGAAACAGTTTGCGGTGTTTTTATTGGCATCTAAATACTGTATATACATTTCGATAGCTTTGAAATCATAACCTCAATAAGTGCAGATTATGCCGTGTGTGTGTGTGTGTGTGGTTGAAAATATCATCAAACTGCGTCGTCGGTATGGTGATCGTTACCCAGCGGCCGGTACTGTCATCTCTACTAGAGGCTAGGCAGTTAGTGGCCATTTGATCGACTAAAGTAGTCGCTTCCTGGATGCACTCAGTATCTGCATAGCGAGCGGTTTAAGTGGCCGCGGCGCGCGCTTTTTCACAAATCGCCGTTGAATGTCACGATCTGCTTTGGTACTCGGAGGCGAGTCACGACTCCTCGAGCGACGGGGGGGCTGGCCGGCGGTTGCCTGCAGGCGAAGGAGCACTATGCGTTTGCCTACCGACCACACGACCTCACATCACATTTGATGCGGTTGTGTGGTACTGCTCCGCATCTTTAGCTACGCTCTCCACACATGAGCGCCTTTTATTCACCATATATACACGTGTATGCGGGTTAATCGTCCCGAGGCGCTGGTCTATAATCTAGCCGCGTTCCGTGGCGCGCGCGTTTTTACCACAAGATCGCACGCCCGTGAGACATTCTGATGCATGTGCCGCATGCGTTCGCCACGTAAGTGCATATTAAGAGTTTGCGATCAACTTTCGCGACGCGCCGCTTCTTTCCTCTTTGCGTGTTTGCGCGTTGCATGGGTGGGGCCCAGCGCAGAAACACAAACTTCATGCTACTTTTGAAATACATCTTAAATCTATTCAGGGTTAAGAATAGATCTTGTGGGACCGTGACTAAAGCACTCGCGGCTCTAAATGAAAGTATTACTTAACAGTACTCAATCATCGTTCAGATGCTATTAAAATGATATCAACATAAAGATTTTATCTGATGTCCGTCTTCGTACATCGTGTTCTTTAGTTTTTATACGCGGCTATCAAAAATTATATTCCAGCCACAAAACTGTCACCGCTGTGACTTAAAAAATATTTTTGATCGAAGTTAATGGACTTTCAAAACATAAATTGTACCATCGGTAATTAACCGGTATTAATACCGGTATTTTCAAGTTGTAACTATTAATTTTTATTTGTGTCTTGAACGACAGCGAGAACATTAATACAATAACAGCGGTGAGGGT